GAGAAATTTATATCACAAAAATAATAAGGGTTCGTTTGATTGCAATTGTGGAAAATGGGTGGGAAAAAAAATGAATTTCTTGGGAAAATAATTATTTAGAAGTTATTTTACAGAAAATTGTTAATTAAGTGTGTTTGATTGGTATAATTTTTTATCCTGAAAATTTTAAAATTTTGTGTTCGTTTGGCTTTGTTTTACATGTAAATTGTCCATTAAAGTGATAATTCTTTCTATAATTGGTTATAAAATTTGTTTCCATTGCCCAAAGTAAAAAAAAAATAATTTCCTAAAAAAATCATTTTTTATCAAAGTTTAGTGTTCGTTTGACTCTATTTTACATAAAATTGTCCATTAAAGTGGATTTTTTTTTTTTTTACAACTGGTTATGACATTTGTTTCCTTTGCAAAAAAAAAAAAATCAACAGCCGCCTGGAAAATTTTTTCCCACAAAAAATGTGGGAAAAAAATTATCAACAAAAACCCGGAAAATAGGGTGGGGAGGGAAAACATTTTTCGTAGAAAATTTTGCCCATCAAACAGTCAAAAAAGTGGAAAATAAAAAATGAAAAATATTTTCCTAATTCCATGAAAAATTATGCCAATCAAATGGGGCCATAGAGTTTCTTTTCATTCTTTTTCTTCAATGAAATGAATAACAAGAAACTTTCGTATAATACAATCTAATTCAATACACAACTAAGCATGTCACCTTTAACCTTGTATATGACAAGATCTAAGTTGATAACAAGTGTGAAACCTTTGTGTTTGTTACGAAGTTTTGTACTAAAAAAAGTCTCCTTAGCTACATCCTAATCACGACCACATATTTTATGTGTTTCATCTTTATTATTTCAAATTTGTTGGATGTGTATTTTTTAAAAAATAGATTTTTTTAAAGAATATGTAGTTAAAAAATAAAAAAATTTAAAATTCACGTGTAAATTTATTTATTCAGAGAAAAAAATTTCATTAACTGAAATTAGGAGAACTCTTTTTTCTTTGCTTGATAAGTTTTTAACAAGTCAAAAATTTTGTTACTCTAAGGGTGCGTTTGATTGCAAGGGTGGAAAATTGGTAGAAAAAAAAATGTTTTACAGGAAAAAGATTTGTTTAGAAAATG